CCGAGACTGTCCGAGCCGGGGCTCGAACCGGCAACCTTCCGATTACAAGGCGAACTCCCAACTCTTGAGCCACGATCGCCCCAGATAAAAATGAACACAATAATCAAATCATTTCATGTTACATGCAGCTCATTGCATTGAAGGTCGTTTTCATTAAGTTTGTGTATGCTTCATGGTGTTTGACTGTGCACATATTTTTTTAGTGATATTTTGCAGAGGGTTTCTGACATCATGTTGGTGTTTGGTTTCTTGCATCTTGGTGATGCAATTGCGGTAAGAAATGATTTTACAGCAGCGATGGACATTTCAGGCTAATACTGAAAAATATAAAATGTGATTCGGAGAAATCTGTGTTTGTGTTTACAGTGCGTGACTGGAGGAGTTGTCAGAGGTGTAGGAAAGCAATCGGTTGGTGCTCTGTGTAACCTGATCGGGTACTACTTTATTGGCTTACCCATTGGCGTGTCCCTGATGTTTGCAGCTGAAATGGGGGTTGTAGGTGAGGGTGGCAGAGCAGTGAAGTCATTCCAAGTTCTTTTATTTTCCTTCGCAGTAAATTAATGCGACATATTCAAGATAAGAGAAAATATTATTTGCTGTTGTTGTCATCTTTCAGTGATTATTTACAGTTTTACACAAAATCATGAAATACAAAATGATACATAGAAAAATAAATACATTAGATGTAAAGAAAACAAAGTACTAATGGGAAAAATTAAATCTTTAACCTTTTAAATGAAACATTTTTAGACAGCATTCTTTATCTAATCTTACCTTAAATTGTCTTTGATTAAAATGATGCAAAAGCGACAATCACTGCATGTTAAGTCTTTCAGGTTACAGCTGTATTGGGACAAATGTGTGCTGCAGTCAGAAATTAAATGTTCCTCCGGCCTGACAAGCAGGCAACCCATTAAAACTCTTCTTCTTCTGTTTTTTCTGCTGTAGGATTTTGGACAGGCCTTACGGTTTGCGTGTTCGTGCAGTCGATCTTTTTCATCACGTTTTTGTGCAAACTCGATTGGAAGAAGGCTGCTGAAGAGGTGCACACCTGCATCTATTGACAGTTTATCACACTTTTATTCATCAAAGCATGTCATTAACTGTTGTGTCTGATCAGGCCGAAGTGCGAGCAGGAGTCCGCGTCAAAGAAGAAAAAGACACGATCAAGATGGAAAATAGAGGTGAGTGGGCAAACTGGCTGAAACATTCCCGTTATTACAGTGTCTTATTCATGCTTCTCTTTCCAAACCCTAGACTCTAA